GGCAACTGCTTAGACTAGTCCCTGCAGTTTTCTTGGCAAGATTTTGGAAGTGGTTTGCCATTGCCTGCTTCCTAGGGCTGAGACAAGTGACTGGCCCAAGGTCACCCATCTGGCTTCTTGCCTAAGGGAGGACTAGAACTCAGTCTCTTGGTTTCTAGCCTGATAATTTAACCACTACACCAAAGTGACTTTCCACAGTCTTAGTAGCTATTATTACAGATAAGGGGAACTTCCCTGTCTAGGAGCAGTAATTGTAAACTTTGGAACACACTAGCAGGGATTCTTGGAATTGAGTGTTAGCTAAGGATTCTGAAGTCTAGATCAGAAAAGTAGAATATCAGCAATAGCAAGAGAGATCCATTCCTAGGTAGCCTATAGAGAAATTGGCTTGGCCACTAGGAGAAAGAATTCTGGTCTACATGAACTTTTCTTCTGGACTCAGTAAAACTGTTCTATCAAAAACCATCTTCATAATACTTAAATCTGTTCTGATGTTCTCTCCTCTGTGCTGCTTCCTCTAGGAATCTTGACAGAAGTGTGGTGGCGGCTCTTGTTTGGTCATGTCTCGACGAAGCCAGCGCATTGGTGGGACTTTTCGCAGTTATCAAAGTGAAGATGATGGTAGCAGCGGAGGAAGTTCACTGCTCGGTGGACCTCAGCCCCTGTTTAAAGAGAATTCAAATAGGTAAGTGGGAACAAAGGAAGAGAGAGATTCGCCCCACACATGCTAATGAATTAGGTTTCTTCACCTTTTGAGTGATAAAATTAGTTCGTTATTGCTGTTTTCCATACTTTCAGGTTGAATGTGATCATTTACCAACTGGCCATCCTTTATCAGTGCCAGATATAAACAACTCCCATGATTATTACTACTATAAATCAACATATTTGAAAGGCAGTAGAATAGAGAAGGTTGCTTAATGGGCCTCTGGCGTTAAGTGGAAATAGGAAGAGCTATTTTGCATAGTGGTGTATTCGTAGCTGTCTCAGTATTGATACAATACTCAACTAAGCTCAGACTGAATTCAGATATCTTAATTTTAACAAGCTTTTGTTTTTGAAAAAAATACAGTTTTCGTTTTGAGAACCACATTTGGTTGTTGACATTTGGTTTGGAATTCAACTGAGAAAGAGTTCGGGGGCACTAAATCCGGGTTTCTAGAGAATCTGGTTTAGCACTGAGTTTCATAGCTTAGTTACTACATTTTAGAAAATCTGTTCTTAAATTCGATTTGTCTGTCTTATCACCTGAGCAGTTTTTAAAACAATATTGCCCAGAGCTCCAGTTTTCAGACTTCAGAGGGGTTGTTGGGAGACTTTCCCATTTATGTTCTTTCTACATCTATGCTTTTCTGATATCTCTTTTGCCAGCCTCTTCCATGTAGTTGTGATAATCCTCTCTGATTTGATTATTGTCTCTACATAATGAAGCAGCAGCACTGTTTGACGTTACTGGAATTGGAAGAGAACAGACATATAGCTCTGTTTGCCAGCTGCTTAAGGGCTTCTGGAGAGAAGAAAGAGTGAGCAACAAGGCATTGGCGATTTCATTTTGGATTGTCTTAATTATAAAAAGATATAATGTTTATAATTTATTTTATCAAATATTTATGCAATTCTGTCTCATTTTTTATAAAGTGAAGAGCTGCTCCTGTTCACTCTCTTTTCCTGTCCTTAAGATTTATCTTGTGTTAATAGTAGCCATTATGATCCAATTGTGAAATAGCATCAAGGTTGAATCTTCCTCTAAATAGAACAAAGTACATCATTAAAAATTGCACCAAAAAGCAAACAATCTGCTTTGCTCCTTCTAAATTTACAAATAATGGGTGTCTTAAGACCTTTCAAGATTTTTTTTAATTACCTCTGGCACTTCCTAGACCATTTCAGTACATTAGTTGTAGTACAATAGATAGCCAGTATGTAACTGGTTTTAATATGCAAAGGTTGACTTTTGAATCAGCTTTCCACAATCTGGTTGGGCTAGCATTCCTTCATTTCCATCAATTCAATCTGTAGTTGTGCTGATTGGAACTGTGGGAGTTGTAGCCCAGCACACCTTTAATCCCCAGGTTAGGGAAGGCTACACTAGAGAGGCTGGGGAGCTCCCATTCCCATTAGATACTTCGATTCTTTGTTTAGAAACTAGAAGTAGTTTAGGAATGAAGGCACATCTACACAGGCTGCTTAAAAATAAATATATAGATAAAAGTGATAGGTACTACAGCAGGGGAGTTAAATTAGTCATCATTGCTGATATCACAGCAACTGATCATTATACAGTATGGCCGTGTTCACGCCACTATGTTCCACTTGAAATAGCAGTGGGAACTCTAAATGCAGTAAAATAAATATTTTCTCATGAAAATGTTATGTTGTTTGTAGAGGATGCATGCAATTTCTTTGTCATAATTTCCTTGTTGGGAACCATTCATACAAATCTACAAAGGAAAACCATAAATAAATAAAACGATCAGTTATATAAATGAAGCTGTGGACAGAGGCACAGGGGAGACTTGGTGCCATGGAAAAAAGCCAGATTTGGATGCAAAACTTGTTTCTTTGTCTAAGAAGCATAGTTTTAATGCAAAAACAAACAAATGCTTGCTTTTCTCATAAATAGCCATAAAGCAACATGGGAAAAAAGGGTTCTCCCCCCCCCCCCCCAAGTGGGGAACTGTAGTTGCTTCTTAGGAGAAAATAAGCAGCCTGTGAACCACGTCACCCCTCCAATGCATTTTTGCAGCCCCCACTACTCTTCAGAATTGCCCTGAAACAATTCTGAACTGCAGCTTTTGGGAGACAGGATAATTTATAGCTTAAAATAGGCCTCTGGGAAACTCAGTGCATCCCCCCTCAAAAAACTGAGATGAGGGATCAAAGATTTCAACCTTGTCCAGTCTAGTAACATCACTATAGAACGTTAGCCACAGCCCCTGCAATCTTTAGAGATGGAAAAAATAATTACTTTTAAAAAGTGTAATCTGTAGGAGGAAAAATGTTGCCTATGTCTGGAGCAGACGGTGTCTGACTTTTGAACAATCAACTGAGAGGGCATTTGTCCTCACAGCCTTTTTTTCAGGCTTCTGTTTGCTTACTAATGGCAAGATTTCCCGTTGATGTGATTTGCCAGAGTTGTACTTAAGTTCCTCACAAACAGCTGCTAACCACATCAGGAAAGCCATAGCTGCTGCAGAATAAACAGGCAGGAAAGAAAATAGGCAGAGAATTTTCTCTGATGCATTGCCTCCGCTTGGTTAAAGACATGTGGGTAGATGAAAAAGATGTTAGCACCTGTCTGTATTACTCCCACTTCCTCTGTACCCATGCACTTTAAAGAAAAATGTTACAGGCAGAAAAAGCTGCTTGTGCTATTTTAAAATGCACTCAGATCTCTCCTTGGGAGGATGGTGGAACATTCACCCCTAAAGCACCAATGATTGGAGAGGATCCAAATGATTGTTTTATTACTTTGTACCATCTTATCAGTATGCCATTTCTGGTTTCTTCTCCTGCAGTCAAACCCTGAAAAGGAAACCAAGCAGCATGAAACGTCTCTCCCCTGCACCTAGCCTGGGGATCAGTTCTACTCCCCACACCACCTCCTACTACAGTGAGTCTGTTATCAGTGAGTCTTATCTGACTGATGGCAGAGGACTTTCTCTTAAAACTGGTACTGCCTTGGATGATCCACTGGAAAGCAGTTCTTACTGGAGTAAGTATTCCTCTGAAACTCCTTGTAGCTAGCATGTCCCAAAACATATGGAGGGCACTTGCTTGGGAGAAATCAATATAAGCTGCAAATGCAACATTTAGCTCAATGTGCTGCTGACATATAGTTCTGTATCTCCTTTTCAACTGATGCCCAGTGATATCAGCCAAATGATGCTGGATTGGTAGTTATAGCTGATGAATGTAGAACAATACCTGAAGGGTCATGCATGGTCCCTCTCTAGATTAGATGGTGGGGTTTTGAATGCAAGAGAGTATTAAAGAGGACTGAGGGAAAATTGAGTTGGGATGTGTGCTGAAAATCCAGCAAAGAAAAGACTGTTCAAGGGATGCTGGCTGGTGAGATTCTCAAACATCCAACCAGTTAATATAAAATATTGTAGCTCTTGATGGTGATGTAATCCATCATCTGTATTATCAACAACAACTATTAAACATGGTCATAGAGGGGAGGGTACAATTCCAAAAATATTTTCAAGGCGCAAGGGAGTTAATCTTTAAACTGTTTTGAGATTTTCACTAAATGGTATGCCTCATTTGAGCTTGTCTGAAGCTTATGGTATCTAGTAACATATAAGCTATGTGCAGGAGATGTATAAAATCATTGAGTTTACTTTTAAAACAAAATTTGTATTCTGTGGTCAGGTGAGGATCTCTCATTGAGAAGGAAAAGAGGCACTGGGGGCATAGAATCCAGTAAGAAAATCAATGGATTAGGAGAAAGGAAGACATATGACACCTATGCTTCTTCATCTGGGTATTCCTCTGAGGATGACTACACAGGTATGGGGAAGTGCTGTTTGCCTAAGCAGTCAGATGGGACTCCTGGAAGAAGAACATTCGGGATAGAATTAGTCATCACTATTTACAGCAAAAACTGGTTGGCTTTCTAGATTGAAGGAAACCATAAGTTAACAAAAACCCTGGGGAGATCCTTGAACTGGGTGTCTTGAAGTTTGCCTCATGGCTGTGCATGCTTAAAACCTGACCTCCGGTTCCACCGCAGGTCCTTGTTCTTCTGCGCATGACTCAGAAAGTTGCATGTTATGTTACTTTTTTAAAAATTAAGGAAGTTATATATCAATCTTTCAGTTTGTTTTTAAAAAACAACTGTTGCAAAACTGATCTGCAAATTAGTGATACACAGGCAGTAGTCAATAGTTTCCATCTCCATATAGTTGGCAGAGGAGGAGTTTAATGTATATGGAGGAAAGATTAACATCCATGGCTGCAACCTGCCTTCATAAGTCAAACTAATCCAGCCACCAAAACAGTACAGCTGGTAATGTTATTTTATTTCTGGTTTGGATAGATAAACTAACGAGAGGAAACCAGTGGTTTGTTCGGCCAATTCCTGGTGTATTTTTCTCTCCCTTTTTAAGCTGTTCTTGCCTTGAATCTGCTCAGTGGAGGGGGGAAAAAGTCAGGAATAAGTCAGGAACCCACAAACAAATCATGGATTCTCACATCACTCTAAGTCACAGCTGTAATTAGCAAACCTACGATCATCCATGGTTTCAAAGTTACTTCCTTTAAACTATTACTGCTATTTTAACTTTGAGCACCATGAATATGATTTCATTAAAAAATATTGCTTTTTCTTTTGTTCAAAATCTGTGTGTGTGTGTGTGTGTGCATGTGTGCATGCATGCATGCATGAGAAGTGGCAGTCAAACCAATTTAGCTGCTTCACTGGGCTTCTACCCATCCCGGGGTCTGCAGGATAGCATGCAGCTTTCACATTTGGCGATCCATACGGTGAGTGCCCCCCCTCCCCCATGTACTTGGAACGCATCAGTGTGGCACTCTTGTTTATAGAGATTCAATGGGCATGACTGTAAGGGCAGTGACTGATTGTTCCAATAGTACCTCCCTACTACATTTCCTATTCCCTCATTTGGCTCCTCCGATAGGCAGTAGGATTGCTCTGTTGCTGCCTTGATTGACTGACTGACTGACTGATTGATTGTTTGTTTGAATTTATATAGTTGCCCATCTCATGTGTGTGGCTCTTTTCTTATAAAAATCAGTGTCCCATTACATACTCAGTGTTGAGGAGGGCATCATAGTAGCAGGTAAAGCAGTCAACCCTTTGACTTACTGATCCAAAGCTGATATGCCAAGTGCCACATTTTATTTTTTGACTATACAGATAAATGTACCCATAGCAGGCCCCACCAAAAGGAAGGAAGGAAGGAAGGAAGGAAGGAAGGAAGGAAGGAAGGAAATCACATTAAGCAACCTAAATACTGAATTACACAGTTTCACTTTTATTAAGCCTCCAGATACTTTGGGTAGTCGAGGAATGTGTGTTCAGTGTGATGAGTGGTCAACTGCCCAATGAAACTTTAAACTGCAGATACCAAGACTTCAGTATGGGCAAGGAGGTCAGAGGCTGAATGAAAGACTGTGGTCCCATGGGATACTGCCAGAACCAACTGAAGGTGTAAGATTCTTGGCATGGACCATGGAGTGTGCATCAATGTGCCCTATATTGCCTGCATGCAGTGTCTTGAAGTGGGATGTGGGGGAAATCACCACTTCTAGAGCAGAGCACCTTAGCCTGACATTAAGCTTAGCTATAGATGGATGCTGAAATAGAGGCTGTAGGATATAGACATGTCCTCTGGAAATGGTTAGTGGGCTATTGTGATACTGGGGCAAGGAAGATATGTGGATGTGTCCAGAGAAAGGGGAAAAAAATCACTGATGATTTGTTAGCTGACAAAACTATATTCTGCTTCATGCAGGTGGTTCTTCCATGGACCAGAATACATCCAATTTTGGGCTCAGGAGTGCATTCTCCAAAGTAGGCTCCTTTCTTTGGCTGGTGCTTACAGCCCCAGGTAAATGGAAAAAGTTGTTAGAAATTTGATTAATGAAGGAGGCTATACAGTTGTGTCTACTCTATGTCTTTGTGTTGCTTTTTCTGTACTAACTTATCTGATATGGGCTTCTACAATATAATGCTGAAAATGTTCATTTGGAAGGGATGCAGAGAATTATACTAGGAGATTGCTAGAGGCCCAGAAGCAAGTATCTGGAGAAATTCTAATGCTTCAGATTCATTCTTTGAAATTCATCTGTCCATGAATGCAACTCAAGTTGGAAAATGTTTTATTTTATGTTTTAAATAATTTGTAAACCATCCAGAGTTGTTGGGAGCCAGGTGGCATATACATTTAAATAATAGTAGTAGTAGTAGCAGTAGTAATATCTGGTGGTTTTTGAGAATCACCATTTCTGCTCTTAAGTTTGCAAGAATGGCTTCTGAGGAATTATGTTGTGGATGAAGGGAAGAGAGGGAGAGGACGCTGAGATGCTGCTCTTTTAAAAGCTGCTCTGGGCTTTTTGCAGGTCGGCTCTTTGGTTTGTTGTACTGGTGGATTGGGACCATGTGGTATCGCCTAACAACTACAGCCTCTCTCCTGGATGTCTTCATCTTAACACGGTCAGTGTGGAGAAAATTTGAAATACGGACTTTGCGGCTGACTTTGATTCCTGAATGAACTGAAGAAGCACTAACTGAGAAAGGGGAATAGAGGAAAGTCCTTCAGGGTGCACAGTTTGGGGTGTCCCAAAATTCACCAGCACTTTAGAGTGTGTGTGTGTGTTTGGATGTACACTGTCTTTCTGCTACAGCCCTGTCTCGTCTAATCTGCTTCTTACCAACTAGGTGCTTATCATATGCAAACCAATAGCAGGTGTCTAAGAGCCATAGGATGGGCTTAAAAGTTTGAAGTGGCCCAGCTCTACTATGGTCGATGATCAGGCTTATGCATTGTGCTAAATGAGGTTTGTTTTGACCATGATTTGAGTAAACCATAATTGGCTGGATTCACATATAATACTAAACCACATCCCATGCAATTTACAAACCATACCACAATAGCTGGGTCTACCCAACACTAAGCAAACTACAACACAAGCGGACTATAGTTGCATAAATACATTGCACCAAATGTGATTGGTTTAGTTTTGGCTTAGCAGGTTGGATGAATCTAGCCACAGTAACTGGTAATCTTTGGCTTACAGCTTAGTATGTTATAAGTGTGGTTAAGGAAATGACATGGTACAATGTGTGAACCAGGTCTGTTTCGATTACTTAACAATATTAACTCCAGCACGTACATTTGATATGACTTCATCATGCTCTGGATGTCCCTGCCTTTTCCAGCCAATAATATAAAGTTGGGGTGTAAAACCTCACTTCAGTGAGGTCACATCACATGTTCTGTTGTTGTTGGCAGGCTGAGGCAACACTCCTCTGCTTATAATGCCTGATTTTGCCTTGTATTAATACTTTTTTTCCCTCTCTTTCCTGTTGTTTGGGGCCCAGGAGCTATCCAGTGTTGAAGAAGCTATTGTTGTTCTTGCTTCTGCTTTTGCTCCTGAGTTCTGTTGGTTATGGTGAGTTTCATGTTTCCTTTGCCTGTCCTTTCTCTGTATCTCTTAGAAAGTATGAGATGACATCACCCTGAAAATAGCACTACTGTAGATCTTACATTTCATCATGTGATGCTTTCTGCAGACTTCTGCTTTATATTATGCAACTGTTGAGGAAGGAAGGAAAAAAATGTGGGGAGGGCAAAAGTTTTTTATTTAATGCACTCCTATTTTTTTTTCTGTTAAAAATTGCTTCCTCCATAAAAAGTTGTACCTTTGGCTAGAAAAATCTGTTGTTACCCATGTGGCTTCTTGCATGACATTTGAGCAGATAAAGCTCAGCTGGGGAATTTTAATCGGCAAAACAGTGACCTAGAAGAAGTAAGAAGTCCTTTTTCCCCCTTACACCAGTTGTTGTTCTCAGGAAAGTATTCCACTTAAGCAGTGACTGGGGTCAAATAAAATGAGATAAAACTGTTTATTGGTGCAAATCTGGAATTGACCAAGTCCCAGACCTTGCCACTCTTGCAAATAAAGGCATATTGATTCATGACTTGGCTTCAGGAATGTGGTTCACAACTCTGCAGCTAATGCTACCCTGCAGTGATCTGAATCAACTGCCAGGATTTTATAATGCCTTCATTCTATCAAGTACTAAAGCTGACTTTTAAAGGACTAGCCCATTTTTCTGGAATTGTTGGCTTCTTCTGTGAGAGATGTGTGTGGGAATGAGAGTCAGAGGATCCAGCTGAGAATACTTTACTTGTGGGAGGAATTCAGGGTCCATTTCTTAAGAATCACAGGGCAGTGGTCTTTCCCTGATATAGCTGGAGGCTGTACTCAGGAGGGCTGAGTTCTGCTTTTCCTCCCAGTGTGGTTGGTGCTGCCACTGTGGAAGGTGTCTCTTTTTTTAGGGTCCTACACTACGGCTGCTTCCTTCCATGTTACCTCTCCATTCCAATGGCAGGCACAGCTCCATTTGATCAGACAAATATCTACAATAAGGACTGAAGAGCTACACCTAATGCCTAGAATCACTTTCCTTGGAAGACCAGAAGAATATAAATATAATAATTTAAAAAAGGCTTTGAAAAGTCATATCCATATATCAGTGTTTCTCAACCTTGGCAACTTTAAGATGTGTGGACTTCAACTCCCAGAATTC